TACTTAAAACCATTCAAGAAACAGCAAAAAAATTATCACAAATTGAACAAATTCAAACGAAAATTCATAATGAATTATTTTCCTCCTCTTCTTCTTCTTCCGATGATGATGATAATGATTCATCGTGGCGTTCAATTATTAATAAACGTTTAAAATTAAAAACAAAATATAAAACAAAACATAAATTAGAAAAGAAAATATTCTTTAAAGAAAATCATTTTGGAAATATAGTTGGACTTTTTTTTTATCCATTAATTACATTTATTGATAAACCAACAACACATTTATCATTAATTGACGGTGATAATGATCATTTATTATTATGTGAACTTTTGGCTTGTTTAGGACGTTTATGTATTCATGCACAAAATACTTTACCATTGAATAATATGATTAAGTTATATTTACAAGTATTAAAAACATTACAACAACATCAAAATCCCGGTGTTAGACATGCAGTTGTTTATGCTTATGCATGTTGTCTTGTTTCTATTGGCAAAAATTGTTATGATGAAGATTTACAAACGAATTTTATTGATTTAAAACAATGGTTAGATTATATTATTAGTAAAGATACAAATACAGAAGTACAAAAATTAGGAAGATCAGTAAGACAAATTTTATTAAAAACTTTACAAGAAATAACAGAGAATTAACTTATGTTGTTATTTTTTATAAATAAAAAACGAAGCAAGCGATATTGTTTCTTCACATGCTGAAATAAATATCGGAATATGTGCAGTTTTTTAAAATGACTTTCTTTACATAATCGAATCTTTTAACTTTCCTATTCTCATAAAAGTTGATTCTACCATCAGGCAGATCGAAAATACTTACAAAAGAGCACAAAGATGAGAGATGATGAAGACTTTGATTTTGGGATCAACTCTTTAAAAAAAATCTATTTCTTGTTAAATATGTTACATTTATTATAGGTATGCAACTATTAGATATAGAAGCGAGGTTCCAACCACCTCAAGAAAACGAAAAAACAAGGATATCTGAAGGCGTTGGAGTGTAAGCAAAGAGAGGAGATATTCGTAGAACCATGCTCACACTCTTTAATAAATTTCTTCCGAAAAAATAAAATTGAAATAGTTGTCTATGACCAAGACGAATAATCATATAATAGCCAACTATATTGCCTTCTGTGATTATTTACTCATCGAAATATAGAAGTAATCAGACTAAATAATAAAACACAAGTTATTTTGGTTTATACATACCTTGAAAATACAAATTAGAGGAATATTTTAGTATTGTCACGAACGAATAGTAACAAAAACCGCTTCACCTATATACTAATATAGTATTTTAATATTCGATGCGAAACTTTCAATGCTATATATTTATATTTCATTGTTATTATTCTACCATCAACAAGGATGTGGGTACAGAGAAGACACACCCACATTTGACATGTTTTTTTCAATTGGTTGACTCATAGTGTGTGACTTTACTTTTTCATTAGCTAAACACTTTCAATATTTTGTAGCCAAGAGCAACATTAATTCACAATTCTCTATGTAAAAACAATATAATTAGCAGAGAAAATGTGTAAAAAAAATCCTACAGAGTATTATATAAAGCAAAAGAGTTTAATGCGTTTTCTTACATCTTAGCGAAAGTAACTCTGAGATGAGTTTTTGTCATCAGCGCACAAGTCACTACAAGAAGGGATATAATTATCGATTTGTGCAGCTTCTCGTTCCAGTAACTATTGCAACAGTTTCCTATTTCGTCTCAAGTATAATACATCAATAAAATTTTCGGCTTTCGAATTTCTTCTCTGTAAAATTATATCTCGTCTCGATTAAAGATTCAACTAAGCCATGTCGGCAACCAACCACATACATAAAGTAATGGATCGTTACCATTCGTATCTAATCGATAAACGAGTAAAGGTAATAATTTTAATAATTTTTTTTTTTTTACAAATTTGCATTCTTTCTTTTGTAATAGAATAAACAACAGATTTGTCTTTGTCAACGACATCTTCAATTGTTTTTTTTATCCAAGAGTGAGTGTACAAAGTAGTTGTCTTGTCTTTCGAGTTGCTTTCATAATATTGACATTTTCCACATCGTTTCAGAATCTATGAAATAAATTTTGTGCACCCTCACCGCCACTATAAATGAGTTGAAGCACATCGAACTGACCTTTTTTGATCGAATTATCTACAATTCATTGAAAAGTATTATTTTCATTCAATGGTGCTAACTCCTTGAAAATGTATTCATCAAGTATAATTCTCAAAAGTTTTTATCTGATTCGTGTGAATAAATATTTCACTATCAATGAAAAGATTCAGTCGAAATAATCATGTTTAATCTATCTAAAAATAAAACTATCGTTCGGTCAAAGTTTCTCATTGACTACATGATTCGGATATTGTATAAGAGAGAGTAGTAAGTCCAGCACATCTTGATACCAATGCATATTGACAGAAGCAGATGATGGTTCCGAATGAAATTATTTTAATCGATAGATCGAATATAATAGAAAATACTGAACACGACATCTTCTATTTCCAATCGTTGACTGTCAGATTCAACAATGTTAACATTGACCAGTAACAATTTTTTCACCGCTTTCAAAAAATTGAATTCATGATCATCATTATCATCAAATTCGAGACGAGCACCTTTTGGTAAAGATAAGGGACTCAATTCGTTTGATTGCCATGATAGATCTATAACGGAAGAATGGTTAATATCAACAGTAATGACCGTATTCACATAGCATAGATTGTAAATTATTGAATCTCTTCTTCAACTCCTTGTCAAGATAGCCAATATCAACATCAGTGAGATGAGTTCGTATAAGTTGAAACTGTTTTATACTTGATTGAAATTGATAGTGTATGATCAATTTTATTTTTCTCTTATATAAGAAATAACTAATGATTGAAGACATTGATGAAATCTTTTTTTTTTTTTTTTTTTTTTTTTTTTTATG